ACATCGTCCATCTTTTTTACAGTCTATGGAATAGTCTCACAGAATGTAAATTGAGTATGTAAAAAGCCTCCCACTTACACATTCTTCCTCTCCAGACTCTGTAGGTTCCCCTTTAAGCTATTATAAGCCGAAGCTCTGGCTTTAAGATCATTGTCAATCTGACTCACTTGCTATGAACAGAGAACCAAAACATGATGTTTATTGAAAGATCAATCTCTTTGTGCATTATAAAAAATTATAAATGATTTTAACATGCCTCACCTTGGACATAATGTCTGAGATGTTCTTAAGGGACTGTTTGATGGGATACTTGGCCATATCCCACTGGAACCGTGTAACATATGTTACCAGATCAACTGTATGGAAATTATAAATATTTATAATCATATAAAATAAGTTTTATAAGATATGTACAAAGACTTTCAAATACGACTGACTAGACTATGAGCGATTACATCATTTTTCTTTAACAAGATTTTATATAAATGTTAGTTTAACATTACTACCTATTAAATATCTGTATGTGATGTTGGTAGTAGTAGTTTACCATCAATATTGTGGTTAGTGTGTATTGAGGGTTGAGTTCACTTGCCTCCATTGGCCAAAAGATTCTCCTGAACTTTATCTCGACTGTCTTCTAACACATCAGCCATGTACTGGGCCACTTTCTTCACTACACTGGAAAATTAAAAAATATATAAAAACCACAGTATAAATATAGATAACTACATTTAGAGAACTATAATGTGACAGAAGCTATAAAATGCATGAAGTGAACTTGAAGGGAACTATGAGTTTGTACCAAAGCAGTGTCAGTGATACTGAAAAAAATATTAAAGAAAAATAATCAAATGAATCAATTTTGACAAAAAAAAAAAACAATCTCTTATAATAAGACAAATGTAGACATGAAACCTTTCTACGAAAGAGTCCAGCTTGGCCAGATCATCTGAGAGCCCTACAAGGACATCCAGAGTTCCCACCTGTTGAGAAACCCCTAATCTCATTAGATAGAGGAGAGATGCAAAATATGTGTCATTAATAACAGTGTTTTAACTGAAATAGAAAATAAGGAGTAATCAACCTTCAGTTCAGGCATGTTGAACTTGTGGTTAGTGGACAGGTTGCTGGTCTGGGTTGTGGCCATGTTCATCGTGTCCCATGTCTGCTGGCAGGTCTTCTCTCCAGGAGCAGAGATCAGCCAAAACTCTGTCATCATTACTTCTTAAATGATAACAGAAAGGCTCATAAAAACTTGTAGATTAATGCTGCCTTCACGTGCCATCGGATATTTCCTACTTCCCACTTCTGTAGTCGTGATTACGAGCTCGTCGCATGATGAAAATTTTGACTTGATGTCCAATTCATGTCCCATTTTTTTTTAACTAGGAAACTATTTACGATAATTCCGATAGCACATGAAGACAGCATAAATTCTGGTACCAGAGACACAAAAATAACTGTCAAATAAAATACACAGCTCTTTTCCACATTGGTCGTATGAGCAAATTCACACTTCTCCATTTCATTCCATAAAAATGACCAGTCACGAGTCATTCCGAAATAATACAACGCATGGCTCCATCAGATACTAAGGCTAAATGTGTCCTGCTCGAACAGCTATTCAAATTTTGAATTGATCTTTTTTTTATCTTAAATGTGTACATTAACATGGTATATACGTATGCGTGAGTGACTTAGACGCTTCTATTTTTTTAAAGTCTGTAAATATTGTATGAGCAGCGTTTACGGCTGTCAGTCACGACTATGAAATTGAAATCATTTTCGGCGATACTTACCGATTATGTAGTCCCTTAGTATACAACAAAACAATCTGATAAAACTGTCAATTGTTTTAATAAAGCATTGTATACACAGTTAATTGAGTCGCTGTGTTGAAAACGCTTCAGACCGCATCACACTTCCAGTCAGCTGATCTGAGCTGAGGAGGTTGTGTTTCGTTCAGGTGACAGTGCGTTCAGGATGCGCAAGGATTCAGGATTTTTGCACGGTTACTAAACTTTATTTCTTGGTTAATTAAAGGGAGTTAAGCAATGGGCTATGTAGCCTATTTAAAATAATTTAGCTTTTTTTTCAGCTGTTTTAAGGATTGAAATTAAAAATCTAAATTTGTGTACTTGACTGTAATCTAAATATTATTACAACAAAACCTCCCTGCAACTTCTTCTTTTTTTTTTGTTGCATAAAAACACCAAAAATGAACAATTTGATCAAAAGCAGGTTGCATTCTTTGCAACTAAATATTCTCTCCTACAAGCACTTAACAATACAATTGTAGGGGGAAAAAAACATTATTTTTGACTAAATGTAGGCCTACTAAACCTTACTCGGTTTCTAAACTTTACAATATGTGAAATAACCTCTTTCAATTGACAAAACTTTCTTCAAGAATTCAGGCTGCACAAAATACATGTATTTAATGTTTATCACTAAATACACAATATAATGTTATTTGAGCACAGTAGGCCTACACGGTATCCAAATGATCTACCTTTAAGTTACTACTCAGTTGATACAGCTAATGTGCAAATTCAGTTCAAGTCAATTAAAAATATTCAATTTAATTTTACTGTAAATAACATGATTTGCAGACAAAGTGTAGGCTGAACATATTTTGCAACGATTTACTGAAACAGAACAAGATCTTTGGTGTAGGCATGTGCACTCTAACAAGTTATTTGTCTGAAAAATACGCTTTTAGTCTGTTTGGGGCATTATCTAAAAAAAAAATAAAAAAAATTGCCAAACAAATACAACCCAAAACCTTAAAATATGACCTTTCACCCAGCAAAAGGCTATGAAAACAATTGCACCTTGTGCTTTGTATGTTTATGTATCATTGTGTACGGGTTTGTTATGACAGCTTTGCCAGCTGTAAACCTAATCATTATTGTATTCTACACTATGAATCAGATGAAATACAACTGATGAATGCAGTCTGTGTTGACAGAGAACATTATGAACACAACATTATGAACGGGTTTTACTGGTACTGGTGGTACAGTTGTATACAGTATAACAACACACAATTTGCTGGTTGTATAAAACATAATACAATATGAATTTAAAAATAACAACAATGACTTCCATGCCTATATAATGACATAACTAAATAAAAAGGGAGGGGTGTATCAGAAAGCATAAGCAGTGTATTAAGCTACATAAACAGAACCCACGTTGGCCCATACATGTCTAAAGGAGCGCATTTCTCCAAAAGGAATTTGCTAATGAATCATAATTTTTTCGTGAGCACAGATGTCCACGCCCACCACTCTGCCTTCGAAATTCGAATCCCACTAAGCGAAAGGCTGAGCTTATGAATATTAATCAGAGTGGGCTGAACTTTCTTGGAAACCCTCTCCAGAACAACCAGTCACGAGCCAGTTACGTAACCTAATTAATATTCATAAGCCAAGCCTTCGCTGTAGTGAGAAGGAGGTCTCTGCAGAGCAACAAGGGGCGTGCCTCAATTTGGGGGCGTTTTACAACCAGGTAGGCGTTTTACAATCTCTCTGCCTGGTTTGCTAAAACTTGAGTGGGTGATACTTGAATACGCTTTCCCCATCAGATATTCAGATATTAGTGATAGCGAGAAAACGGTACAGTCTATGGGTGAAATGAGGAGAGAGGTCACCTGTCCTGCATATGGATGTAAGTGGATTTGTGTAAATTCTCATTTTCCGTCAGTTAACGCTAATTAGTTTGTGTAAACTTGCTTGCAACACGATTAAGAAAAGCTCCAAGAGGTCTGCCACTTACAATCTATCGCTAACCACTATTAACAAACATTCGCTAACTTTTTGGTGCATGCGTTTGTTACTTTAGTGTTGATAGTGGTAGTTTGCTTACTGTCGGCGTATTGTAATATAAAAAAATAGTTAACGTTAGCTTGTCAGACTAGAAAACAATAGTTGTAAACAAATATTAGTGGGCTATTCCACCGAATTATGGCCCGGTTTCACAGACAGGGACAGGGTTTAGCCTAAACCAGGATTAGTCCATAGTTCAATTAGGACATTTAAATAATTTTCATAAACATGCTTAGAAAAAAAAAACATTACTGGTGTTCATCTTGAGACAAAACAAAGACACTGATATATTTTAAGATCAGTCAGTGCAAGTGTATTTCAGTTGGAACAGCTCAGACTTATTTGGTCTAGGACTAGGCTTTAAAATTGTTTGTGAAACCAGGGGATATAGGTAGCCTACTAATATGTTCTATAAATACAATAATAAATAAAAAAATAACTATAAATACATTTTAAGGAAAGTGTTGTGCACATTAATCTAACTGCAAATTCTGTCTAATTAAAAATGATTAAAAACGATTAATTTTTTTTTTGTGGATAAATTACGTTTTCATTCAGTCCAGAACCCACTCCCTTCATATAAGAAATGGTGTTTGAGTGTGAGGTGCGCTGTAAGAAAACAAGAAAAGCTGAAAAAGCATTGCTTGTTAAGTTTATTATTTTTAATATCAATTTTAATGTAATATTTATAATTTTTCTGTTATTTATATTATATCTCATAACCCTAACAAAAACCTCTGCAGACACCTAGATTTAAATAGAAACATGATTTGACCTTTTTTAGCTGTGAGATCAGCTCACTAGTCAATGTTCAACACTCTTCATTATATCAGTGCAGGCATTAATACCTCACATGTGTAGTCAAACCTATAGACTAACATAATTATGTACAGTGGAGGAAACTTGTTAAATTAAAATGGATGAAATTGTTGTCTATTCACCACATCACAATTCAGCGGAGAGGACAAGAGCCTCAACCACAGCGCTACCTTGCAGATACTAATTTATTCACATGCCCCTTCTGCACATCTCAAATATGTAAACCCAGACATTATCATCAAATAGTGGCCCATATAGCTGGGCATAAAATAAGGCCCCAGCAGCACCTGATCCACCACAACAAACTCCTTCGCTGGCCCCAGCGGCACCTGATCAAAGAAACTTGATATACTGTATTATTAATGTGTTTTTATGTCATAAATTTATCAAGATCGGTCATGGAAATCCAGCAAAGAAAGAGAAGGCGGACTGACAAGCCACACAAAACTGGTATGATTTATTTTGTTTGAGGTGCTCTATTATTTATAGTAAATGTTGACTGTTATTTACTGATGTTCTTCATTTGTCCCTTCATAGTGGCAACTGTTGACCAACCCCTGAACATACAGGAGGCATGTATTTGTTATTACTCAATTTATAAAATGCAAGGGAATCATTATAACCACAAGAAGTTCAGATTATGTTTTGTTCATGTATAGCTTCCTCCGCTGGTCCTTCGTGAAATCTTACTGGAGGTTGTGCTTCAAGATGGTGATGTTGCAATTGGCTCCCTTGCCCTCACCTGCAGGTGCTTCAACAGCATTGTGAGCATGGAAAGTTTCCGCCGAGAGGCTCACTTTCGGTGGTTGGACAGTAAGTTTTATTAGTGTCACTGTTTGGTTAATCACAGCTCTCTCTGTTTTTCTCAGTTATGTATGGTTGAATATTAAGACAATGATGAGGTCAGCTGACAACTTTTTTTTTAGGTGTCGTGAACTGGAAGGCATTCAGTGAAAATGTCAGAAACCTGTACAGGGTTCCATACAGTCTATCCAGATGTCTCCATTTTGATACTACATACAAAGACTGTGGCGAAGGCTACAGAGGAAGAGGGCAAAGAGGTGTGTTGCAGGGGTTCTATGGCTCTGATGACTCCCCAGGATACTGCGGAGACTGTTTCTATGTGGCTGTGGAGGAAGCATCTAATGTTTCATGCAATGTGTTCCTCATGTTTGAACTTGCCACATTTATTGCTTATTTTATTTGATTGGATTGGATGCTCTCTTTTTTACTATTACATTAAATAGAGAATGCTGCATTTATCAATACAGTTTTTCATCATATTGGTTACAGTATCTATACGGTCAATAAAGTGATGCTAATGTTTAAAGTTTTCAGAGTCATTATTCTAATTAAACACATTTTACCTTAATTTAAAGGTCAATACGTTTTACTTTATATATCATTTAATGTAAGCTACAAATATCACTTAAATATCAGTCATTACATATAAATATATTTTGAAAAATACAGGTGAGAAAGACCAATACAATAATTTTCACCATTGCTTTACAGTAGGATTTGGTAACTTTATTGGAAATTGAATTTTTCCTTGTTAATCACCGTTACAACTTGATTTATGTTGTGTTGTTCACACACACACAAAACGAAAATAAAACTAATGTAGGCCTAATTATAAATAGTTGAGTAATAAAGTAATTTTTAATACTTTTACCTTTTAAGGTTTACATTTAGAGAAAAATTGCATGTAGGTAGGAGAGAATATTATAAAATATAATACACACTCACAGGCTATAACAACATTTACATATACATTGCGACAACATTTATGTCAAAATAAAATCCAGCTACTTATTTTCTTTAAAAAGGAATTCTTTCATAAACCAAATTTCCCGTTATGTTATAAGATACAGATCTTGTATAACTATCTTATGAAAGAATTCCTTTTTATATCTTATGAAAGAATTCCTTTTTAAAGAAAATAGGTAGTTGTAGCCTGTATTTTATTTTTTACATAAATCAAATGTTGTCGCGATATAGACATAATAGTAAAAATCAAGAAAAAACCCGAGAAATAATAATAACGCATTTCCGCTTCTGAAAGTGCTTCCGAATCCGTACGGTTATGATTGGATGGTTGGAAAATGCCTAGACCGGTTTGAAAACGCCCATTAATTGGGAAACACCTTCTTGTTGTTCCGCAGAGACCTCTATTTGGAACCGCCCGCCTTCTTCCACCACCAACCATTCTGAATCTGCCTGAGATAGACAGCAGCGCTCTCGTGTTCGGCCGAGCCCTCTTACCCAGGCATATGGCACATAAAGCCTCTTTTCTTTCTTCTATTTGTGTCCCCACCACTCTTTAAAAATTCCGCCGAAAAAGAGAAGACGATTTTCCAAATCTTTCAGGCCGTTATCTCACGTAAGTACAGCGTTTGTTGTTGTTTTTAGTCTTCATCCCGGAAAAAATTAGCCGTTTGCTGTAAAGAGCCGTGACACAACATGGCGGTTGGTAGTAGTTGCGCTTGTTATACGGGCAATGGCAGGGCTCCATGAAGGACAACGACAAATGGATTTAAAACTCACATTTTATGAGGATTACACGCGTTTATTGGTATAAATACTTAGTTGTCGGAGTATGACGGGTGTAGTTGGGTAAATAGTTAACGTTAGTGAGCTGTTCAGTGGACCAAACCCAGGTGCTTACGACATGTCATGTCAGGTTATTGAATGACGAGTGTTACACATTAAAATATAGACTAGTTTACCTTGTTCTAAATAATTTCAGATATGTCATTCTTACTTGGCCACAAAATATATTATACTTGCATAATTTATGTGAGTTAAAATTTTGTTTTCCTCCAGAAACTCTTGTATTGGTACAACATTACCGCATGCCAAACACAAGTCTTAAATTACTTGTGTTTAAAAAACTTAAATTACACAATGTTTATTATACCATAATAACACTATATTACCACAACTTTCTACGCCTTAGTGGATTAGTATTTAATGTACTTCGTAAAGTTGAACAAGTTAAAACCTATTTCTTAACCAATTAATTAGTAAGGCCATAGGAAACAATTAAACAACAGATTTTTCAGGAAAGTTTTGATCATGGCCCTAGAAACTCATTGAATATCATTAAATATGATACAGTGTGTTTTATAGGTTAAAGCGGTCCACATGAAGAAACAAACACCATGACCTCTGATAAATGTTCAGCAAGTTACTCCATTTATTGATCCCATGTGGGAAGATGAAGATAAGACCATGTTGTTTAATGCTTAAAAATGAGAACACTGAGTAACATCACCCAGGTCAAGTACAAAGTACAACAGTAAATAAGCAGTGACTTGATAAAAGCGTTATACCCTACAAATGAAGGGATGCTAAAATATATAATGCACCCGTGTTAGAAAACTGGTTGTGATTCTGTGAAGAATTATTTCAGAAATGTTCTAACCTGTCCTGCTACTTTTTTTTTTTTGGTTCTAATATATATCAGTTTATTTTATCCATCAGCTGCTCTTGTAAATCAAATATTTATACACCTGTTTTTGTGACTCCACAGGGCTCCCCACTCTCTCTGAGAGTGTTTAAGCGATACCCAGAAGGCCTAGGGGAGGCCCTCTACCGCGAACTGTTCGACTTCAACGCTGAGCCGCCTTGGGATCCTAGTTGATAGCGGGAGAGGACCATCTCCCATCTTGTCCATGTGAGTACCTAAATATTACACTCTGCTCTTGAAGTACCGGTTATAGACAATTACATAATAACATGATTTATTTAATTCCACATAAAAATCTGTGTCTGCACGCACCCAACTGTAGTGGATTGTTTTTGGTTTTACGTAACACTATTGGTAGATTATATTTAACACCTTTGCCCCCCATTCATACTGCACAAATCCATTGGTAATACCATCAAATACTTCATTGTGCTTCAAAGCCACTGGGATTTATTTTGATTGGGTCTGAGTAAAAAAAGTAGCCTGTAGGCCACATTCTTAAAGCCTATGTGTTGTCATCTCTAAAGATGGACTCATGTGATACCTTCTCTAGCTATGTGATTAGTTATCCATGCTTGTTGTACTTATTAGCTTTGTTGCTGTTGTAAACCAAATTTAGATTAATGACAAACCTCAACTTCCTGTTCAAAGTTTGCTCATAAAACTGTGTTTTGAAATATGTGGGTAGGTGTTGTAATTGACCTTTCTTGGTAGTTTGATTGACAGGCGATCTGACCAATCATAATCCGCTGAATCTGCCATTTTTGTCCGACAAAACAGTCAGGAGAGTTAGTAAAATAACGTTGGAGGATTTGAACTTGAAAAACGGAGTGTATTGACGTCTTTCCGCGGTTAAATGTACAATATGTAAGAATTTTGTAATAAAATATCCAAAAATCACCTGCACGGTGTGATATATTTCCTGCAGTTGTGTACTTACAATATCCCAAAAGTTCCCAAAGATTTTAAATTTCAGAGAAATTTGAAATAATGGCTCGTCCCTGGTCATTGTCGCCTGTCAATGAAGTAATATCCGCGTTATCCCTGGTTTCCGCTCGTACTGCCATAGTAACCATGGCGACAGACGTGGACAACTACGCTACGTCTAGCTCGCTCACGCTGTTGTTGTTTCGTTCAAATATTATGGACCATGGCAATCAGACTTTGGGACAAAAGAACTAAAACGAGGATCAATATCGGCGTGGCGTTTCCAGATGTCAAGAGCTCCACGTCCGCAACTAACTTCGACTTGACAGAGACACTGCTCTTACATGTAGCCTACGTTATTAGACAGGTGAGCAAATGTACATAAAAATAATCGATGTTATATATCTCAACATGATGAAATGTTAGAATATGATCAGTATATGTTATTCTAATGTTGATCTAGCTTACTGCTAGTCTCATACAGCCAACAAACTAACTCATAGAATAACATTATAACTTTCAACACACTCAAATGCTGTTTAGTGTGATAGTGTAGACCAAGTGAAACAGCGCTGCGTTACCTCAGAAGTTTAATGCCAGCGTAGATGTCAAACAGTCATGATAAAAACATCAATGTATTCACTCATCCATAAACATTATTAGATCATTCGGCATGACGACAAGTTCCATAATTCCGCTTATGCGTTATCAACCTACGCCTTTGTTATCTAGCGTGGAAAAAAATTACATATTGTAGCTTTAAAACAACATTCCTTATGTTCATTCATGTTTATTTGATGCTATAAATTAACTAGAAGGAAGAGATGAGCGGTTTACGAGCAGCTTTAACTGAGGCTATATAGCGATCTGTCAGACACATTAAAGAGCCACAAAATGGTATTTATTGTTTAAATTAATGTAAAAAATGACCAAATTTGAAAATTGAGACTTTGTTTCATATCAAAAGTAACCTGGTCTGTCCTGTATATCAGTGCGTTGTCAGTGTCCTCTCTGCTCCGCGATGTATTTTTCAAAGCGTGAGAACATGGTGGGGTGTGAGAGCAGCATGGCTTGTCATAGCGAACTCTTTGCAAGCAGTCAATTGTACGCCTTGTCGTCAAGTTTTGTCTGAAAGCGTAAGGTTATTTGAATGTTATGCAAGTTTTTGTTATAAAACCATTTGTTTTCCCTTAAACAGTTTGTTGCATACCCAGAATACCCCAGCGGCTCAGTAAACTCTCTATGATTGTCGGATTTGCGGAATACGGTTGAGATGAAAGGATTCTTTGATGCACCAAACTACTTTATAGAACTACTTGAGGGAGGTACGACCCTTGAAAATGTTATCGACAACCACGTCTATGAACAAAATCTGGTGAGTTCAGAAAATTGGTTGTCAAGTTGCATCATGATGAATGTCTGTTTAAGTTAAGAAATAAAACACTGGTGTTTTTTCATTTTTTTCATTGTTTGGTCCGATTTTGTTCCTCAGGCTGAAAAAAATGCATTTGTTGTGGCCGACCTTGGGGCCCTAATGCGACAGCATGTTCTGTGGAAGACCACTATGCCCCTAGTTCGACCCTTCTACCCGGTCTGTTGTAACAGCAGCCCTGTAGTCATTGAAGTTCTGTCTGCACTTGGTGTTGGTTTTGTCTGTGCAAATAAGGTAACATTGAAATTTTTTACTTACTTGGAAGATATTAGAAAGATCTCAAAACATTATTTTGAAACATCTCATTGGATTTTGAGGCACACCATCTAATAGAACTGTATTGATTTCTTTCAGGCTGAAACCACATTGGTGTTGGATCATGATGTCCCTCCTGAAAACATCATCCTCTCTGGAGTTTGCAAGCAGCTCTCACTCATTAAACACGCTGCCAAGACCGGCATTAACTATCTGGTGTGTGAAAATGAGGCAGACCTTCGCAAAATTGCCCGTGCCCATCCTGAGGCCAAGTAAGTCCTTTAAACCTATTCACGTACACTACAGTTTAAAAGTTTGGGCTCAGTAAAAAAAAAATGAATTAATGCTTTATTCGGCAAGGATAATTAAATTGATCAAAAGTGACTGTAAAGACATTTATAATGTTACAAAAGATTTAGATTTGAAATAAATGCTGTTCTTTTAAATTTTCTATTCATCGAAGAATCCTGAAAAAATTTATCATGATTTCCAAAAATATGAAGCAGCACAACTGTTTTCAACATCGATAATAATAAGAAAAGTTACTTGAGCACCAAATTAGCATATTATAATGATTTCTGAAGGGTCATGTGACACTGAAGAGTAGGGCTGTCAAAATGGCTGAAAATAATACTATATAATACATAATATTAGAATAATATTCGAATATAAGGCATTATTTCAGTTAGGAGAAAAAAGCTTTTGGCTTGTCTCCTGAGGCCACAAGAGGGCGCAAGGAGCAAAATATTAATGCATCTCATTAAATTGTTTATTCAAAGCAATAAAATAACATGACAAAAAAAAAAAAAAAGTTTATAAATCAAATATAACTTTGTAAATTGCATAAACAATTATGAACAGAACAGCATCTTGTAGTTATGTATTTAGCTTTGTTTGATATAAAGAGCCGAAGCGTCGATCACACACTTTTTGTTTTAAAAACATGAGATAGAGTGGAATGGGGAAAAACCCCCACAAAGTCTCGAAATATATATTTTTAAAGGTTTAACTTTTTTTTAAACTTAACATGGCTTTTTAAACGTGCGGCTCTCATGCAAGACGCGAGTGCAGCGGTCAAAGATGTCCGTCTAGTCTAGTTCATGTCTACAGAAAAGTGCTTTCTGTGTGAACGAGATTTTCTTCATATTATGCTTATAAACACAATAAACGCTGTCATATTATCCCTAATTTTATTTTTCATGTAATATTTTTTATATTTATGAAATTCTCCTGTGGCACCGTTCTTGTCTTAACAGGCTTTTGCTTCAAGTGTCTACTGAAGCACAGGTGGAAGAGGCGAGTGTGACCATTGGTTGCTCCCTGAAGGGCTGTAGACACCTTCTAGAAATGGCCAAGGAGTTGAGTGTAAATGTGGTTGGAGTCACGTAAGTGAAAGGATTTTGATCCCCATAAATCTGCTATGACTTCCTTGCTTTTTAAGAGTTTTTATAAAATGGGATATTTTTTCGCAGGTTCCAGGTACTAGCATCATGCAGAGATCCCCAAGCATACACCCATGCACTGTCAGACGCCCGCTGCATCTTTGACATGGGGGTCAGTTTTAAGAGAATTCAATTTTGATTAGTTAATTTCATGTATCTATTGGAGTGCTGAGTCCTCCTTGTTTCTACAGAAGGAATTAGGCTTTGACATGAACATCCTGGATATTGGTGGAGGATTCAGTGGTTCTGAGTTTCAGTTGCAACAGGTACAGCAAGCATGCATCTCATAGTTTTTCTTTTTTTTGTCATCCAGCGTAGATGTTACTCTAAGCTTTTCTCTTCTGTCTGTTTGATTAGGTACATTCTGTTGTCAGACCTCTGCTGGAAGCCTATTTCCCCTCAGCGTCTGGAGTGAGCGTCATTGCTGAACCAGGAAATTTCTTTGTGTTTTCCTCCTTCACCCTGGCTGTCAATGTTATTGGCAAAAAAGCGGCATGCCGGGATCTCCTTAGCAGCACACATGGTGAGCCTCATCGTATTTGATGCGTATCCCATAATATATATCTGCCTTATCTTATATTCTCAGTGTCTTTTGCACTTTCAGATGAGCTGACCCCAAACGACGTACCAGAATTTGTGTATTACATGAATGATGGTGTTTATGGAACTTTTGTTGGGAAGTTGTTTGGAAATATCATCGCCACACCCTCTGTCCACAAGGTAAAAAAAAAACATGCATGCACCAGAACACATGAACAATATTTGTACCAGTTACCTGAGGTTTTTAAACCGGATGTTTTGTGTATTTCAGATGTCGCTCACCCTTGATGAGCCTGTGTTCTCCAGCAGCTTGTGGGGTCCATCGTGTGACCCACTGGACCAGGTGGTGGAGCATTGCCTGCTCCCTGAGCTCGCTGTTGGGGACTGGCTCATTTTCAGCAACATGGGGACAAGCGGTCAGGAGGGCCCAGCAACCCTCAGCGACACAGACCAGCCACCTGTGTATTACACCATCTCCACAGATGACTGGTGATTATGATCACATTTCATTTGACCTTATGTGCTTTTTGTAGACTGTTTTTGTCATCCCTTTTTCATTTCACCCATTCTAAGAAGTGATTCTGTGATTTTAAAGGTTGTTTAAAGTGAATATAATGCTGTTTTTTTTCTCTTTCCTCCAGGTTTGAGATGCAAGAGGCTGGAATTTCTCTTGATGACACCATGAAAAACCTCTCTTTGGTCCAGTATGGCTTGTAACAGAGCCAGAGTCTGTCCACTAACCACTGGGCATGTGTATTGCTTGCAGAGTCAACATTCCATGGGTGGAAAAATTCTATTTGACTTGATGTTATTGGTCAAAAACTAATTGATTGACATTGTTACCTCAGTTTCTCACAATTACAACAGGGTCACTTTCCTTTTCGCTCAAAAATGACAGAAAACCCATATAAGATAACATATGCAACAAAATGGATGACTGTGGAGATGGCACCCAAATCCTGGGTTTCTTAAACACCGTTTACATAAATGTTCAACTAATTTAATTTTATTATGTATACATATATTGATATAGATGATCTACTGACAGTCTTGTAAATGAGTTGTCCGTACAAGATGCATTTGTTTCAAATCATGATAGATTTTAGATTCTGCACAAATAGGCCATGACCCTCAGTGTGTGAACAAGTGTACATTGGTTTAGCGATCTGTCCTTGTTCTCTCTTTTTAGTTTTCCATGGTTTTATAGAAGTAGGGAGCTTCTCTTCGCTCCTCATGCCAAATTATGGTTTCCTAATTACATGTGGTGCGTCACGTGACAGTATTTCCAAAGGTTGTTATATATTTCATAGTGCTCTATGGTAGAGTGTGCTATAATTTGCAGTGTCCCTTCGAAAGATTTTGAACCTTCTGCCAGGTTGTTAGTAGAAGGCAGATGTAAATTGGTCTCATGTTTTCCCTATTGTATATTTTATCAAACTAGAAAAACGGCGTGGCGTTATGACTCTGCTGATAACCTGCTTAGAGATGACATTTACCTCAAGTTACAGCTAAAATACAAGTTTCACCACAATCAGATTAAATACTGCAAGGCACTAGTTCTCAATCTAAAATTGAAAAGTCAAATGGTGTATATTTCAAATTCATGTTATACCTCATGGTGTCCAAGTTTGATTATAACAGCTCACGGTTTTATAAAATCACACCCCTTAGTAATGAAATATACTTTTGTCTAAGGCACTAATGGACCATTGCCTGTTTTTGACTGTAAAGTTGTGCTTGTAAAAGTGATTGATTAAAATATTAATTTAATACATTTCTGAGCAAATACTAATGAGTCATTTTTGTCTCGATTTTAAAATCGTGTGTGAATTAATTAAACTGCATTACACAAGGTACTAATATTATTATTTTTTTCTTCATTGAACTAGCTGACGGGTGTTTATATTTTACAGTAATTTTACCTTTAGTGAAGAATCGAAAGGGTTAATGTCTACAGAGGAACTGTGGAGGAGGAGGAGCGATAAGCGTGGTATATTCTTGCTTCAGTTAACTTAGTCATTTTCAATGACAGTCGACGTAGAGAGATCGCAGCTTCATCGCTGCTGACCAAACACGATAATAATCATGAACTCCAGTAAAAGCAACTCTCAGACGGACATTACGGAATATCAGGTAATAATACAATTATTATGCAGCATACGGACTTTGAATAAATGTTGAATCTGCCTGCCTGAATATGTGCGCGGATGTAAGCTTTCATAACAAAGCCTCGCGCACAGGAAAAGGTGACCTTAGCGCTAAATAAAGCGTATAATATAATAATAATACATAAATAAGGGTTAATAGCAATACAATTTCGAAAATAGTGTGTGTCATAATGACAGATTCAGTAAAAAGGGTGTTATGTGTTGCAAATCGCGAAAGCGATTTGAAAAAGTGGTAACTTGGTATGAATAAAGTGAATTATGTAGAGATTATTTGTATATTTATTTTGATGTGTTAAAATGTGAATATAGTTAAGAATTGTAATGTTATTCTTTAAATCACACGTGAATGAATATGTCCTTTTAAATTTTTCGTAAGCAGATTCGTCATCAGTCCGCACCACATTAACGTTATTCAATCAGTGACAGCTCTGTTTATCTGTTCTCTTTGCGCTTTAATAACGAGCCGATGTTATAAGACTGCAGTGAATAAGTTAAATCCGCTATTAACAGTCATGTTTCTCTTGCAGAATGGTCACAAGGATGTTGGCCCAAGCAGTATTGAAGACGAGCCCCTCCTCAGAGAGAACCCCAAACGATTTGTCATTTTCCCTATTCAATATCCAGACATCTGGAAAATGTACAAACAAGCTCAAGCTTCATTCTGGACAGTTGAGGAGGTGAATATTATTTTTGAATGATCAATTATAATAAAAATGAAAATATTCTTAGAATCACTTTTAGAATGATTTTTACAGCTGATGAACAATAAAAACATTAACAGCCAATCAGAATCCATTAAAATTTAAAGAGCTCGAACATTTAAAACATAACTGCAGTGCATGTTTATAATAAACAGAACGTTATCTTGAGATGGTGTGTTTGCTAATGGACCGTTGTCGTGGCAAATCAGGTCCTCCCCCGAAGTCGGGTCTCTGTTAGGACCCCCAAACTTTCCCATTTGCTCAAAATACTTTTAATAACTACTCTTTTTAGAGCCCGATCACAATTCCTTTTTACAATACAAAACCATGTTATGATAAATGCTGTTTGAACTACGTTATAATGACCATTATAATGACATTAGCTTATGTACAAGCATTGCATACAGATATCTGATTAGCTAGTTTAGTTTATACACGCAATACCCTACATTTTATTCACAATCATCTTTAATGTAATTACTATTAATTAATAGTATTAATTTAAGTGTTAAATATTTCAGTTATAAAAACAATGTAATGATGTTCAATTATTCACTTAATATTGATATTAGGCTATAATTAATAAATAACAGTTTATCAAGTGATGTTATGTTCAATTTGTTTTATTATGCACTGTATAGTAAGCTAAATTAATATAGTTTGTTTGTGCTTAATGTAATAATGAACCCGATTTGTCATGACACTGTAATAACTATAACATTTGAATAATCCTTAAAGATTAGGAAAGTCCGCACCACAACTTTAACAATAACGACACAGAGGAATTAACTCAGTATCACTTTCAGATTGATTTTTTCCATCTGATAAATATAAAAAATAAAAATAAATCAAACCTGTCCATTAATGTAAGAATTTACATTATAATGAATTATTATTTTTGGTGCTCTGTTCTTTTCATTAAAATGAGTATGTGCACTTGTCACTGCTGAATGTGAAACCACTAAACGTTTTAATGGGTTTGTATAGGTGGATTTATCAAAGGACTTGGTTCACTGGGACAGCCTGAAGTCTGAAGAGAAACACTTCATATCCCATATACTGGCTTTCTTTGCAGCAAGTGATGGGATAGTCAACGAGAACCTAGCAAGTGCATCTCCTTCTAACCCACATTAACCAATATAAAATGTTATGAAATAGATCAGTAGAACAAGATGTTTCCAATAAACATAATGTCTTTATTTCTCACAGGTGCAGAGGTTCAGTCAAGAGGTGCAGCTCCCGGAGGCTCGATCCTTCTACGGCTTTCAGATCCTCATCGAGAATGTGCACTCCGAAATGTACAGCATGCTCATCAACACCTACATAAGGGATCTGAAAGAGAGGTGAGATGAAAATGAAGTGTACTTTTAACAATGTCAGTTACAGCTTTTACACAGGTGACAGGTGCAAGATTCAGTTAAGCTGTTTTTGCTAACATTTTCCTTATGTGGTTTATGAGCCTCAAAACCACACAAAAAAAACATCTGTAAGAGATATGAAGGTATTAATTGTTCTACTTGTGTTTTATATGAACATCATGATCAAGATTATAATAGTCTTAAAAACAACTTGTGTTATAAACGTTTCATACATAGCCTACTAGTGACTTTAAACATAACAACATAAATTGCACCGCCTTTCAAAATATTTTCTGAATGAAATCCAATACTTTTTTCTCTCTAATTTTGGGGCGCTGATTCCAAAAATTCCACACTTTCTCACAAAACATGGGTAACACTTCATTTTACAGTGTCCTTGTTACATATGTTACATGTACTTATCATAGCAATAACAGTAAATTATGGATAATTACCATATCCTAATCCTACCCTAATCCTATAGTAAGTACATGTGGTTAATTATTATTACTCAGTACTTAAATGTATAATTACATTGAAACAATGACACCTTAAAATAAAGTGTAACCAAAACACAATATGCATTTCGTAGCATTTTTTGCTTTCGACAACCATTTGCAAGTTGAAGTCTTGTATTATCCCTTTAAGGAATAGTTCACTCACTTACTCACTCATTTACTCCCTCTCAAGTTGTTTCAAACCTGTATGAATTTCTTTCTTCTGCTGAACATAAAAGAAGATATTTTGAAGAATGTCGGTAACCAAACAGTTGATGGACCCCATTGACTTCCATACTATGGAAGTCAATGGGGTCCATCAACTGTTTGGTTACCGACATTCTTCAAAATATCTTTTCTTGTGTTCAGCGGCAGGATTCCTACCTTCCTCTGAATTCTCAGACAATTTTCACATGTATGACACTATTTTATGCCTAATCCGGATTTCAGGCTTAGAATTATGGCCAATGACAGAAGAGGATGCAAACATGAGCCGGATGTTTTCTACTACATCCAAACAGAAAATTACAGATTTCGTGAAAAAAGCTAAAAAGAGTATTTGAGCATATTTTTCCACTCCTGTGCAGATTGTAAGTTGAATAATAGGCTGAATTATATGAAACTTTTGACATTTTACTGCTTTTGTTATTATGATAAGTGCATTAAAGTCACTGAAAAGTCTTCAGCTGAAAAGTTTTTAATAATATTTTTTAACTCGGCATCATCAAATTAGATAATATTAGGCTCCCCGACACCCCCCATCCCCCCAACCCCCACCCCACTTTGTAATTTTTTTTGCTATTTTAATACAATGTAAGGATCCTCTCTAAATCCAAATCTCTTCTTCCTAAAGGGACTATTTGTTTAATGCAATTCAGACCATGCCTCTTGTAAGGCGGAAAGCAGACTGGGCCTTACAGTGGATCTCTGACACAAACTCAACTTTTGGTGTGTGGGAAAAATTCATTTTTCCTAAAATAAGAGTACGAAATTGATTATTATTAGACTTGATCAACAGCAGCTTTTGTTCATTTATTTATTCTTAGGAGAGCGACTAGTAGCTTTTGCTGCGGTGGAAGGCATCTTCTTCTCTGGATCATTTGCTGCCATCTACTGGTTGAAGAAAAGAGGCCTGATGCCCGGACTCACCTACTCCAATGAACTCATCAGCAGAGATGAGGTTAAAACAAAAATATGATAATGTTATCAGTAGAGGCTTTAAGATAATTAGATCATGGTTTGATCAAAGTGTGTTATCAATGATAAAAAAATATAGTGGAGATAACAGTAAAAAACTAATCAAGGCTATTGTTGTTTATTCTGAACCTTCACAGGGTCTGCACTGTAATTTCGCCTGTCTAATGTACAGCTACTTGGTGAAAAAACCTTCTGCTGGCAGAGTGAATGACATCATCAAAAAGGCTGTGAGCATTGAACAGGTAAGTTCACATTGCTGTGCTCTAGTAATGTGGAATGCATTATTGCAGGCATGAATTTAATTGTATCTGTCTTTGCTTGTCTTTCCTGAAGGAGTTTCTCACAGAAGCCTTACCGGTCAATTTGATCGGGATGAACTGCTCTCTCATGAAGCAGTACATTGAGTTTGTGGCTGACCGATTGCTAACAGACTTAGGATTGGCCAAAGTCAGTATTCTATCTAGATTGTCTTCTGATTTTTGTCTGATAATCTTTATATTTATATAACTGTGCTTTAAAATTTATGTCTCAAAAGGTTTACCGTTCAGAAAACCCCTTCGACTTTATGGAGTCAATCTCATTGGAGGGAAAAACAAATTTCTTCGAGAAGCGAGTTGGCGAGTACCAGCGACTTGGAGTGATGTCAAACATGATGGACTGTGAATTCACTCTTGATGCAGATTTCTAACGATGAACTTGAAGAAATTGTATTTATTTATTGGACAGTGTTTTATTACTTCCTAAAGAAAGAAAAGTCGTCAACTGACTTTTTGTTTGTTTTTAAGTCCAAGCTGAAAATGAAAAATGAACAGTGGACTTTTTAAGTTTTGTTTTATTTAGGGTTTTTTTTCACATGGGACTCCATGGTACACAGACAAGCAGAAAACAAATTATGGGTTCTCAAGCAGAAACAAAAACAAATATTTTGTGGTGTAAATCTTTTAGAATTTCAAAGATGTTTTAGATTAAAACATAAATATTGAAACTTGTGTAACATGGAAAATGATAACCCATGACACATTAAAGGGATAGTTCACTTTGAAATAAAGTTTTGGTATGTTTTAGCTTACCTCAAGGGCATCCAAGATGTAGGTGTCTTTGTTTCCGCAGAAGTTTCAATTTTGATATTTTTAGGTCAATCCGTTCTTGTCTGTCAGTCATATAATGCAGGTCTATGGTCACAGAGAAGTCCAAATTAAACATGATTTAATGACTAGTAGTTTCATATCATACCAAAACATATCAAAAATTTTTTTCAAAGTGAACTATCCCTTTAACTTCAACATTAACAATTACATTAACAAGGGCTAAAAAATTACATTGGGTTGACAATGTCAAGTGTGAAAATCCATTATATTCCATTTCAGAGAGAAAACCTTGAAACGTTGAGGTTTATATTACAATAAAAGTTTGTCAAATTAGCCTAAGATGTCGGCTGCAATTTGTCTGGGTGCGAATAGAAACTGCAGACAGCTAAGAAAAATAACAAACTGTAAAAAATATTAAAGAAAAAATAGAATAAATACAAAGAAAGAAGTAAAAATATAGGAAGACACAGAGAGCCACTTTTGTAGATAGGTTGATACGCCATGGATTTTTCATTTTTAATATCAAGATTTTAGATTAATGGTATTGCTTTTTTTTTTTTTTACCCAACAGTCAGCGTTCAACTTGATTGAAGCCTTTTTGTAGCTATATTGTCATCTGCTGTCGCTGAAACCTTGTGAGTTGCCCACATAGACAGCATTTTGGACATCTTAAAGGGAAAGTTCACCCAAAAAAGAAAATTCTGTCATCATTTACACCCACCCCACCCCCAAGTTGTTCCAATCCTGTAGGAATGTATTTATTCTGCTGAACCCAAAAGAAGATATTTTGACCAGACAGTTGATGGACCCCATTGACTTCCATAGTATGGAAGAAAAATAAATACTATGGCATCAACTGTTTGGTAACTGACATTCTTCAAAATATCTTCTTTTGTGTCCAGCAGAATAAAGAAATTCAAACAGGTTTGGAACAACTTGAGGGGGAGGAAATTACACAAAAACAAATGGGTGAACTTTAACTTGAACGCACTTGTGTTCAGGGTTAAGAGAACCGAAACCTGATCTTATTCAGAACCGGTTAAATATTTCGCAATTGATTAATCGATTACAAATACTGTGCAAATGACACGTAAGTCAAAGATATTTGTACAGAATTATAAAACTTTCGGTTCCGTATCTTTAAAGTGATTCCGCAGAATATAGAGCATAGACTGTGAGAGTGTTTAGTCGGATTCCTGAATGAATGACTCGTTTGAGTCGGTTCTTTTTAATGAATCATAACCATTTATGAATAAGAATTAGATTTATTTCACTTTTACGTATTTATTTTTGTGTTATATGTTCTGCTTAAATCCGAAATTATCTCATAATTTGGCAATAGGCATAGTTAAAAAAAAAATATATATACTCTTGTTTCGCAAAGGCAAAGGTAGTAGTTGAACTATGAAAGAACTCGTTCAAGATAAACCAGAAGCGGAACTAGAATATTTACATTTCTTTCGATTCTACTTCTTTTCGATGTACAACAATGCAGCGCCCTCATATGACGCCCAAAAAGTGTTGTCTCTAGGTAGCCAGATCGATAGGTATTGAAACACAACTATCATGCAAGAAAGCAAGCATTTCTAAAGCCACTCCCTCCTGCCGTCCACTGACTCTCTCCCGCTGCCAGCAGCAGGAGCTCATTATTCGTCTCTTCGTGCGGTTCTTGTCCGCTTGCTAAAAATGGACCAGGACTGGCGAACTTTAGCCACACAGCGAGCCGAATACGTGTCCGACCGTATCCGCGGGCTGCTGTCCTCCGGCCTGGATTTCCTCCGAGCCGAGCTGGGGATTGATCTGGGGATAAAGCCGGAGCAGTATCCGTCGTGGCTGATTCTGAGCACGGCTCTTATCGGGCTGATTGTGCTGGTGGTGCTCCCGGCCTGTGGACGGAGGAAGCGCCGAGCGGTCCCTGTTACTGTGAGTCCCAGCACCGTCGCCGAGATCCCGGTCAAGACCGCCCTGCCACCGAAGACTGTGAAGACCGAGCCAAGCGAACCGAAGAAGAAGAACAAAAAGAAAGCATCCGACAAGGTAAGCGGCCTGTGATCGTGATTTCCTAGTGCTAATGGCTGTTATCTCAAAACCAAGACAACTGCCTTCCTAGACAGCTCTTTTGGACACTTATGTGACACCCACATTTAAGAGATAGATAGACAGCTTATTAAGGTTTTGAGATGCAGTCCTATAAATCATATGCAACTTGTTAGAGATTAGCACGAGTAGCTGCTAACGTGCTAACCTGTCAAAACCAGTGAGAAACGGCTGTTGATATAGAAATCTTTCCCCTATCAAAATTATGTCATGCTAAATTGTTTATCGTCCCCTTTCAGATTAAATGAACAAATCAGGCCTTGTTATTAATATTTCGAGTGTCGTGATATAAGAGACACGAAGGCGATAGAAGAGCCACGTAGCACTGTAGAGCTGACCGGTTAACTCACGCTTTCACAACTTTCGGTTTAGCTAAACACCACCTTTTGTAAGTCTAACGCATATTGTGACAGTTTTCGTGCCCTAAGTGGAGTTTTCAAGCACTGTCAGTTCATAGAGGAAGGAAATGTGAAGTTTGTTGGTTTGTAACTGTCATGTGCTCGCAGCAGAAGGCCCAGGCGAATGGACAGACAGTGGCTGAACCTCAGCAGGAAATCAAAGTCACCGAGGAGAAGAAGAAACCCCCTCCTTCACCAGCACCAGCACAGCCACCTGCAGATACAAAGGTTGTTCCACATAGAAGTATTCATTCTGGTTTCATAGAGGAAGTGTATTGGTTTGTTACTTTGTTTATATATTTGTAGTCACAATAACTGTAGTAGTATTTTAGACATTTGGCAGCTACTTCAGTAAAGGGTGGTTTGCTCTGCAGCTCCTCTGAATAGCAAAACCGTTTGGAGTTTTTTTTTTTTTGCTTACATCATCAAACATAATTATGCAATGATTTATCTTTTGCAAATGTTTATACAGCACTTTGAGATAAAAAAAACAACAACTTTATTTACCTACGTTTCATTTGATTATTAACTGACATAAGAAACTTGTGAACATACGAATGTCCTGACTCCTGTTAAATTATTGAAATAATAACTTAAAATCTTGTGGGGTACATCAGGTGAATATTTCATGTCATCCCATTCCCAGCACTACAGACTTGCATTCTGCTCACTGATACAAAACAGTGATAGATAAAAAAAAAATAGATATATAATGTTATATACATGCTTGACATTAACACCCGCTAAATGCGGGTGGATTTCAGTAGTGGAGTGTAACGCAGTCATTCCTACTAGCCACTTTGGTGGGTTGAATTAATATAAAAAAAATGGTAACACTTTACAATAAGGTTCATTTATTAAACATTAGTTAATGTATTAACTAACATGAACTAACCATGAGCAATACATTTGTTACTGTTTTTGTTAATCTTTGTTAACGTTAGTTAATACAAATCCAGCTGTTCATTGTTTGGTCATGTTAGTTCACAGTGCATTAACTAATGTTAACAAGATTTTAATAAAGTATTAGTAAATGTTGAAATTAACATTAACAAAGATTAACTAAGAATGAACAATACTTCTTCAGCATTTGTTAATGTTAACTAATGTAGTTAACTAATGAACCTTATTCTAAAGTGTTACCAAAAAAATGCAATGTTTGGATGCTTGAATTTCTGCGTGGGATTGCGCCTAATTTTACTCAATCCCGCAGATTGTGCTCACACCCAAAGTGAGCGCATACAAAGCCGCCTCTCAGTACTAAATTAAGTTATTGGTTCACGAGTAAACACAGTCAGTTATGTTTTAAGTGAACGCATATGTAACAGATCCGTGCGTCGGGTCTTAAAATGACAGTAGCCTAATATACCTGCTTCCAAGTTATGTGATAATGTTAAAAAATTCCATTTTCCCCATGGTATCGATGTCAAAATTGTTGCCAATGAAAATGCTGAGTGGCTAGTAAATTTGGAATACCACTAGCCACAGTAGCTGATAATTATCCTTATAATCCCTGGATATTATCTATATTAGTTCACTCTTTCCAGTCTTTCAAATCTACACACCCCTTCCAACGCTTGAAAATATGACTTTGGTTGTTCATTCTTGTACTCAGAACTTGTAAATGTAATTTCGAACTCCACTTCAAGTAGGGCTATGAACGTTTGCACCAGCCTTGGTTCAGTCTGTAAACAGTGATTGAGAGAGGTCGGGTGTCAGTATCGGGCTGTAATTTGATAATGCAGATACAGCAAATGTAGGGTACATCCAGAGGGGAAACTATGTACTTTGTCCCAAGGCCTCAAACTTTAGGCATAGTTTTTACAAGACCAAATAAGCTTTTTAAGATATCTTAATATGTCTGAAATGGCACTTTGTGTCTGTAGTAAGAGTGAGAGCAAGAAGATTCTTGCTTTATGACTTGTCAGGAAATTGTAAATGAGTGTTTTTGGTTCCTATGTAGACCAAGAAAAACAAGAAGAAACCAAAACCAGAGGTGAAGCCAACCAAAGCTGTTTCCTCCACCGATGGCAAGGAACCTGATGAAGGTATGAAACTAGGTTACCAAACTGTAGTGGCAACTTGACTTTTTCAGTATGGAAATTGTTTGTTAGTAATTAGATTCAGAAGTTGAAATGCAAAATATCTTGCTTAAATAAATTCAAGTGAGCTGCTTGCTTTGAGAAGGTTCTTTTTCAGTATGACTGTGTTTAGCAGGTGCTTGGGAAACCAAGGTCAGTAATCGAGAGAAACGTCAGCAGCGCAAAAAGGAGAAGGGCCCTGGCGACAGCTCTGGGAGCCCTGAAGCTGGAGATCATGCCAGCCAGAAGGTGGAGCAGCCTGTGGTTACAGTCACAGCTGGCACCAAGAAGAACAAGGGTACGCCTTTCCTTTGAGTCCTTTTTAGATTTTACTCTGTATATTTCTGTGCTGATGGCATTCAAGATAAGGTTAATACGCAGGGGTTTCCTTTAAGACGCTAAGCAGTTTTAATCATTAGAGATCTTTTCCTTTGATTTATTGTAGAGTCATCACGTGCCAAGGCCGGGAAGGGTGATGTCATCACAGCCCCAGGTAAAAAAAAAAAAAAAAAAAAAACATTTAATTTACAGAATAGAAAGTCTGTGATCATTCCTCTTTTTCTGTCTTAAGTGTATTGAAAAAAATTATTAAATATTTAAAGATAATATAATAGACTTTTATTGTCAAACAGATTAAATTTGATTGAATTTCCAGATTTGCTGTTATGTATTTTTTTATACACTTTGAAAAGGCATAGATTCCATGTACAATGTTATTCAAAAATTATGCATTGATTAAAAATGTCATTAACAACATTAATGTTACTAAAGATTTCTATTTTAAATAAATGCTGTTCTTTTGAACTTGATCAATGTTGAAAACTGCTTAATTTTTGGTGGAAACCATTATACATTTTTGACTAATCATAAAAATGGTTCTTGAGCACCAGATCGTCTTCAGAATGATATCTAAAGGATCATGCGACACTGAAAACTTGAGTACTAATGCTGAAAATTCAGCTTTGCCATCTCATGAATACATTACATTTCATATATATTCAAAAAGAAAACCATTAATTCAAGTTGTAGTAATATTTCAAAACATTATGGTTGTTACTGTATTTTTGATCAAACAAATGCATTATTTTTCAAAAACATTTTAGCAACCCTAAACTTTGAACGGTGTCACTCAGAATATACCTTACAAATATGACCTTTTTCTTTAGTGACGTCTAACTGTAATGATGTGAACTCTGTGAACGGTGGAGGGTTAATGGAGGAGCCTGTGAAGTCAACACAAACAAGCGCTTTAAACAACGAGAAGTGGTCTACTGGGAAAAAGACCCTTGGGCAAAAGAACCGTGATAACTCCACCTGGAAACTAGAGTCAGAAGGTAATAGATCACAGTTGTTTATGACCTTGCCTTGAGTTTATAACAGTTACGGCTGCATTTGAGGGTTTTTAGCTTTCAGGTAATTGTGACAGAGCTTGGAGTTTCTTCTTATGTGTAGTAAATGATTAGATGGTAGTTCCAATAAATTCAAACCTTGGGGTTATTACACTTTACTTAATTTTATATTAAGATGGTTAGCATAGTAACACCTTTATCACAGTACTTTATATTTATAAATTTGGTTTATCAAGTAATATTTTTCAATTTTACAGCCGCTGTGGATAAACATGCTGTCTTATTATTTGTCAGGGGCATGGACTAGTTTGGATGGAAGAATTAAGGCAGAACCAAACCCAGTGAACTTAACAATGCTTAGACTGAACCCATCAGGTATGTGTAACCTTTTATTTTCACTAAGAGGGCATTCTTGTAAGGAGCACATCATTTTGTCCTTGTATGCTAATAAACACTACAAATATTAATCATCTTTTCCCATGTGTTTTACAGGTGGAGAGACTCGGACTAAATCGAACATTGAAATAGGGAAATGGGACAATACACCCGCCCCTGACAATGAATGGTCCAGCTCCAGTAAGATCAAAACTTATTTAGACTCAGAAATGAGAGACAGTATTTTCTAGAATACATTTTAATACAAAATATCGGTTTGTGGTCGGTAAGATTTTTTTTTTAAAATCACCAAGGCTGCATTTATTTGATCAAAAATACATCTTCAGTGTCACATGATCCTTTAGAAATCATTCTAATATGCTGATATGGTGTTCAAGAAACATTTGATTATCAATGTTTAAAACAGTAGTGCTGCCTAAAATTTTTGTGGAAACCGTGATGCATATTTTTTTCAAGATGCTTTGATGAATAGAAATTTCAAAAGAACAGCATTAGAGATCTTATTAAAAAGTCTTTACTGACACTTGATGAATTCAATGTGTACTTGCTGAAGAAAAAAAATCATTGACCACAAACTTCTAAATGATAGTGTATATCATAAAAGACTATTAACATTTCCTGTGTCTCCGTATGATTTCAGATGGTCTTTCCGCTGTGGACCCGAGCTCAGACTGGAACGCTCCAGCTGAGTTATGGGGGAACTATGAGCCCAAAGTTGATGCTCCTGCTTTGAAAGAGATTCCAGTTTCCAACCCACTTGTGGTATAAAAAACAGTTATAATAAGGGGTGTGCAGTGGAGCTAATATTTGGATATGTATCTGTAAAAAATATTTGAATCTGTATTTAGATAAAACCAGAAGTGGGTGAGGATTTAACCAGAAGTTAATATGAATTGGAAAGACAGTTTAAAATCTGTCTGAAATTGTACTTCAGGCGACCCAAGGTCGAGACATGCCTCAAGGATCTTTCCCGATCTCGATAAATACATAATTAAATATCTTCTAATTATAATACTAAATGTTAAATAAAAAAAGTTGTCTTTGCGTACTTTAACTTTATGTACAAGTCGGACTATATAAAATGGCTGATTGGAGAACATGGAAATTGAACGAAAATATTTAGTGGTTAAAAATCACTAAAATTACTTTTACTATGCATACAAATGCAAATCTGAAAAAATTCAAAATAAACGAATGCTTGCCATCTTACAGAGAAATGGTAGCCTATCATTATCATACAAGGTTTAAAACACTTAAATAGAAACATCAAGTAGAAAATGTGTACGATTCAGTATCTTAATTGGTATTACTCTTGACAGAGCTGGTTTTTAAGAGATGGCAATGCGGCTGTTTGATTTCCAGTCGTGCTATGCTCATTTCATTTATTTTAAATCATTTAAATACACGTATTAAGTAGAAGAAAATGTGTATGATTTAGTATCTTAGTTGATATTCCTCTCGTCAAGCTCTGATTTCTGAGAGACGCACTGAGACAGCAATGCAGTTATTTAATTTGTGCTCATTTCATTCATGGAGTTTACACTCATTCACTTCTTACACGCATTATATTGCATAGTGATTTTTGAGGTTTATGCATAATATTGTGTTATCCTCTCACCTGTGATTCAGCAAACACAAGAAATGACTGTCTGCTGAATATTTTTTCTATTATTTGGTTGAATTCATTATTTGTTTTGAAGGCATTATCTGTGCCTTTCCTATTAAGGTATTTGGCTTTGGGCACATCCCTAGTTATAATTTTATAAATGTACTTTTAGTAGATTTTGCTAAATGTTTGTTCGTTCTGGTTGCAGGAATCAAATGATGACAAGGACCAGGCAGATCCTGCAGGAGGTGGAAAATCTAAGAGACGAAAGAAAAAGAAGAGACCAGAGGAAGAAGGTTCAACCGCTGAGGTACAAATCATGTTTTAATAAACCGCGAGTCGACACATGAACGCTTAAACGTCAACACTTTGTGAATTCTGCTTGACTGACCAGATTGTATGTTCCTCTTCAAGGTGACTCCAGAAGGTTCTGCTCCTGCAGAGAAGAGTGTGACTGTCAAGCTTCATCCTCATGTTCCAAAGGATGAGGGATCCAAGCAAAATATCCCTCCACAGTCTTCTTCAAGTAAGTAAATCACAAATGAAATGGTGAATCTAGTGAGAATGTTTAAATAGGGCATATTAGGCTTTTTTAGTATGTGATGTCTCTGTTTACAAAGCACAAAGTCCACTCTAAAGGGAGGAATTCTCTATATCAACAGAGAAACACTGTTTCTCAACTCCCTAAAACACCTTGAGTTTTCTTTCGGGAACATATACGACATATTAAATTCAAATAATTTCTCTCCAAGGCATACTGGAAAAAAAGGGGTGAGACATAGTTGAGTTGTTAAAAGCATTGACCAATCATAACACACTGGTCCAGCTGACCAATCAGAGCACTTTGCCCTTTTCAGCAGGAGGGGCTTCATAGAGACAGGAACTAAACAGAGCATTACTGATAGATTGAAAAGTGAGGTCCTGCAACAATGTGAAATATGTAAAAAGGGTTCTTTTTTTTACATTCAAGCATAAAAACACATTCTAGTAGACTCCAAAAACAGAATTAATACTTTGTAAAAGGGCATAATTAGTCCTCTTTACCATCAATATAATGTGTGAGGTAAATGCATTTTACCACATACAGGTCCAAAAGCCTCTTTTTTTTTTCTTTTTTTTTTACTTAATTTCAGAATATTGTTTGTATGTCATTTATCCACGCTTTTCTCGCCACCAAAAAAATACATAAATAAAACTTTAAGTCCTAGATTTTCAGATGTGGCTTTGGGATGTTATATAATAACATTAATAATGTATGATAATCTTGCTGAAAATAATGTATATTTTCTTTTCCATTTTTGCTCCCACAGAGAAATCTGATCAGAATTGGGAACCACCGAAGCAAGTTCAGAAGAAAAAAGCCAGGAGAGAAACATGAACTGTGAATAAAATCCAGGATAGCTTATGCAAATAGATTGTTTATGCAATAATTCCACAGTACAGAATTTTATACTGAAAAGTTGACTGTGCTTTTAAAATAAAATCCAAAATAGAAACAAAACTGAGTTGGAAGAACTCAGCAAAAAAAAAAAAAAAAAGAATGAAAACTATAGAGTAAAGGTGAGCAGTCTGTGGGCTGGAACACTACTTATGTGCACTATTACGCCACACTGAGGTTTGTTAATATCAGACATGCTTTCAGTGGAGCAAAACATTCATGATCATTATTTTCCAACAGATGCTTAATTGATTTTGAACTTGGAGGGTTGAAATCATTTGGGAAATCGACTTTCTTTCCATCTATTACTGTTCCTGTGGCACTTTAGTTCTGCTGAATTGCACTTTGCTGTCCAGCAGTTTCTGAAGTGTTGCAGTTCCTGTTAGAAGCCACAGAGAGGCGCTGTGAGCCCGCGTCTCCTCCAGCAGTTCTTCTGTGAGGTGAATTACTGTAATCCTCTAGATCGCGGTGGTGGAAAACCAGAGAACAGTTATATTACAGAGAAGTTTTTTTAATGATAAACCTATTTTCTTAGAGCCTTTCTTCCGTCCTGAGTACCGGTATATGTTTTTTACCCATGTAACTGGGTATGTGGATCTTGGAGATGTTTAGAGTTACAACTCTTCCCTTTTTAATCAACTACTAGTTGACTAATGCTTTATTTCCTGCAAACTAAAGTAGAAAAAGCCACGCCATATGTATAGAACTATAAGGGCTTTTTTTATATGGTAAAACTCTTTGTAATTGCACTGTGCTGAAGGTTGTAAAATACCATGTGTATTTACTTATTTGTTTCTTGCACAATGTGAACATTACATTTTTGTTCATGTTTGTTTTGACTGAGTTAGTTAGTAGGTTTATGTGATTTTGATTGGGAAAGTTGATGATTATTAGCGCAGCTTTAATTCCATGACACTAAAACAGTATCAGTATCAGGAATCTGTTGCCTTAATCTATAGCCTACTTAATAGTGTATGCTTTCTGTTCTCTTCCTCATTTTCTAGTCTTTTTAGCAGGTTTGGCGTTACTTTTCCTTTCAGATTTGATTGATGTCAGTGTTGCACTTGCATGAACTTAACCATTTATATAGTGATGAACAACGTCCTGATTTTCTGTTCACTTGTGCAAGTACCACTCACTGTAAATAGGCTTTAATGAATGATGATGATGAATGGATGTGGGAGGGGGGGATAAAATGCTTATTCATATTTGGGTTGACTTAGTGGTGTTTTGCCCATGGTTTTTTGTAAATTTCAGTAGATCATGTGTTTCTGAGGGACTCGGGTCTAGCATCGGATGCCTGCCTTAGTTTATCATTCTAGAGGTTACTCAAATGACGTATTTCTACAAATTTATGGATTTAAGAATGATCATGTTTACTTAAGTCAATGCAATATTTCTATGTTGATTTGTTAAATAAAAGAAGATTGCTATTTGAGCTTATTGAGCTGCTGATTTGTTAAATAAAATAAAAGGCCGTTTGGACTCCATGAAGTGCATTTTATATTATATTTAAGAAATGTAATCATTTAGTTTAAAAGTATCCAATCTGCTTAAACCCCACAGCATAGTCATAATGGAATTTCATGAGGAATTTCAGTTATTATTTAAAGAGTTATCAGCCTTTTCTTAATCCATCTTTAGACTGCAAACACAGCACATTGTGTCTTTATTTATCCATCAATATTTAGGTTCACAACGTTTCTAATGTCAAGGTTACACTATTTTGCTGCATTGCAAGCACATTAATTTAAAGCTACTTTAACTTTTTTTGATCAAAATTGTTAAAATAAGTCAAGACATCAATCCTTTCACAACGTGTTGTCTAACCCTGATTAATTATGGTAATATTATAAAGGTTTATATTTAGACCTGAGGGAATGGTTTTTGCAGACAATTACGTCAGCAAGAAATCTTGAACCTCTGTGGAGTCGCGTTAAAAAGCCAAACGGAGGACAGTCTGCTGGCAAAGAACGCGACCGAATGCATAATAAAACCAGAACCAACATTGTCTTGACTTTCAGAAATGGCGAGAACTGAGGGATTTGAAATGTTGTAAAAGCGACACAGAGATGGTGTTTTTATTACTCAACAGGTGAGTACGGTATTTTATTGAACCCGTAAACTGCCATAGCTCTCTAACAGAGTTAATTGTGAAGCATTATCTATTAAGGGTCATATTATTATGGTTTTAGTGCTGTGTGTGCTGGAATTTATTTTCAAGGAAGTACCGTGTCTATTAATGGGTAAAGCTACAGTAACGTCTTCAGCTAGTCATCCTGAGATCCTTTCCATCTACACTGGTTATTTCTGGCCCTGTAGTGAGTGTTTTATAGGACAAAGAACCATATTCATCCACAGTCACGCAAGGCCGAAGCACAACCACAGCAATGTTCTTCCTAAAAATACATGCAGGTTTTTTTTTTTTTAACCGCTAGAGGTCCAAACGTTACATAGAAAGAAATGCAATTCTTTTTAAATGATTTTATTTTTTTTTTTTATTTTTTTAATCTAACAAAAGCATGCACTAGACAATATAGATTTGTTGGTTTTCACTAGATTGTACTGCATCCTGAATGATGCAGTCTCACGTCATATGAGATTGACCTCTCCTGCCCGTTTCTCATTTCATTTTGGATCTGTGGCACATTAATCCTTTTCCATTGATTTGTTCTTCAATTTGTTGATTTATTTGATACAATAATACAGTAAAATAGTAGGCTATTATAAAATATTTTTACAATTTAAAATAACTGGTTTTCAAATGTAATTTATTCCTGTGATGTCAAAGCTTTCAGCATCAATACTCCAGTCTTCAGTGTCACATGATCCTTCAGAAATCATTCTAATAATGCAAAAAACAACAACAACAACCATTTCTGATTATTATCAATGTTGAAAACACTTGTGCATCTTAATATTTTTATGGAAACTGTGATACTTTATTTATTTGTTTTTTGTTGTTGTAACATTATAAATGTATTTACTGTTACTTTTGAGCAATTTAAAGTGTCCTTGTTGAATTTAAGTATTATTTTCCTACAAAAAATGTTAATGACCCCCAAGATTTGAATGGTAGTGTAGTAATTTAAGTAAAAGAAAAAAGCTTGTATAGCTAAAACAAATATATACAAAAACTACAAATTAATAAACAAACACAACAAAACTTTTTACGCCAGACTAAAGGCTAAAGAACAATTAAACACTCTAGTGATAAAAAATAAATAAATAAAAAAACAGAACCAGTGAACCTTTCAGTCTTTGTACAGTCACCATGTTGATTTGTATCTGTTAAACTTTCTTACTTTGGCTGAGAGCTGTAAATCCCCTGATGCAGTGATGAAGCTGCCGCCCACAGAGGCTTAGCGGACACACACACACACACACACACACACACACACACACACTGTCTCACTGGTGGTATGGCCCATCTGCTCTCCTCCTCTGTCACGTAGAGCATGCCCTGTCCTCATCAACACTGAATCCCTTCATATAATCTCACAGGAGATTATCAACACTTTTGTAAGCAAGAGGGGGAATAAGTCTGCATCCGAAGACATGTTTGCTCCAGTTTTTACTTGCGTTTCTCATATCCATGTGTATCGCCTGTCACTATAGGGATGGTTTTCAAGGTTTTGTCACAATGAACGGTTTAAATGTCGATCACAAATGAAAAAAAAGAAGTGAGATCATCTCAATCATTTATCCAACCACGTTTAGGCAAAGAGCAAATGGAGACGAAGGGAGGCTTTTGTGATTAAAAAAGAACCCCAGTTATGTCATCTGTGGAGTTTCATCTGAATAAGCATATCTCAAACTGTGCTCGGATTTGCCAACATGACATATATCATATTCTTCATGTGGAGCAAGTTTATTATTTCTATTATTGATTGTTAAAATAGTAGCTTTTATTATGAAATATTATTACAATTTAAAATAATTGTTTTCTATTTGAATATATTTTAGCCTACATTTATTCTAAATATTCTAATTATAAACATTATAATTATCAATGTTGAAAACAGTTGTGCTGCTTAATATTTTTGTGGAAACTGTGACTTTGATTCATTGATGAATAGAAAGTTCAAGAGCGGCTATTTTTTAAACAAAAATCTAGGCCTATTTTTTTATTTATTATTAATGTTTGAAATGTTATGCATTTAATACAGCTTATTATTTACAGTATGTGTTGGTCAAAATCCTTTACATTTTTACTGTTTAATTTCAAAAAATTATTTTGTTTATTATTTACTTTACTGTTTAAGTTTAGCTGAAAAACCTATAATAGGTTCCACTGTGACAACTTGCCCCAGATAGAATGACAATATTGTTGTAACAAAAGGTCAAATTATGCATAACTGTTTCTTCCTAAATGTTTTACATCATCTTTCTCACACAACACAAAAATAAACCCAAATTTTGACTTCCAGGCGTGACGTCTGCAGTCAAGTGACTTGGTCTGGAAGAGCGAATTGCACCAGAGGGCCCCTGACGTCACACCAAATCCCCCTCTGGTCACGTGGTGCGGAGATGAGCTGCTGGATTAATGCAGCGGTAGGGAACAAACCGAACAAACGGGACGGGACGGGAAACGGAAACAACACAGGATTTAACTGCGACGGTGAGCTGTAGCAGCAAAAAAAAAAAAAATTCCATCGAATTATATAAAAATAAATCTATAATATAAGATAAAGACACATGCACTAGTCGTGCAGTTTTTGTACGGAAAGATGATGATTTCGCCGTGGGACAGATGGTACACGACCAGCTGCTGCCTGTGTTGTCATGTACGGACGGGCACCATTATCCTGGGCATCTGGTATATGGTGAGAGTCAAGACGACTTATTTTAAATAACATATGTAACGTTATTTATAGTTATATATATATATATATATATATATATATATATATATATATATATATATATATATATATATATATATATATAACCAGCATAAACTATTTTTGAATATTGTTAGTAAATTATAAATATTTGCAGAATTCTAATTGAAAGTTTTTTCTAAAATTACTAAAAATGGTCGTTATAATATTGTGTTACCTATGTAGACAGCATTTTTGTGCATGCCTAATTCTTGATGTTCAAAATTCTCCCCGCACATTTATGATTCATAATGTCATTGTGCTGATTAATGCTATAGATAAAGCAACACCGCTGACAGAATATGAAAAATAAATAAAATACGAAAGAGAAAATCTGAGAAGAATGAAATAATTTAACCACTAAATGATTGTTTAACAACGCGTAATTGCTCCCATGATGTCGTGCTTCCTCCTAGTTGAGACTTGTTTTAGAAACTAGAGCTCCTTTGCGTAGTATAAATAGAAAAAGAATCCTTGATCTTAAGCTTGAAACTGTAACTAAAGAAAGTTGTCTAATCGAACTGTGTCCAAACAAAGACCTAAATATAGGAGATAGAGAGTAATAAACAGTGGACTATTCTGGTCACCTCCAGTTTCTTCTGCATTGCAAGGAACTACAGAATTCATTAACCTAAAAACTACAGTGACGTTTATTGACACAGACAGGAAAATGCTTCCACAGACAAAACATTATAAGAGACAGTGAGTGAGGATAAAGGAAATGTGTGTCACGGATTAATTAAATATAAATGTCCTTCAAGAGCTAATGGCATAATATGATTGATTGGTCTTTTGTTTGGTCTGCAAAGTCAAACAGCACAATATATATATATATATATATATATACCAATTAATTAAAACATGAATATATATGTATTATATTATTATGTTATAATATTATGTGTGTGTATATATGTATAATATTATAACATAATAATATAATACATATATATTCATGTTTTAATTAACTTATATATAAATATATATATATATATATATATATATATATGTATGTGTGTTTATTAGAATACTATAATTTTAATTATGTGGCATGTATTATGAAAGTTAATTATGCGAATACAGTAGACCTTTATTTGTATACTTCGAACAACATTATTAAAATATCCAAATGCCTAATAATAAACTAAACAATAAACTTTGTTAATGAGAATACTTGTATTAAATCCGAGCAGTTTATTCCAAAACTCAATTTATACTTTAAAACATAAGATTCCTGTTTTCTGCTGATCCTGTTTGCTTCTGCCTAAAAACTAATTTATCTAAACATCTATATTGTTAAAAATTATATATATATATATATATATATATATATATATATATACCGGTATATATTCTCTGTCCTTTTCAGCTCATCAATGCAGTGGTTTTGTTAATCCTGCTGTCGGCTCTCAATGACCCAGTCCAGTACCACTACCACCTCACCAGCTCCGAACTCGGCACGGATTTGGACGTCATGGACGATGCAAGTACGTTTGAGACATTTAATCTCCCATAGTTATTCTATGCCAGTATGAACAAACAGATCAGCATCAACTTTTTAAGTTCAGCAAGAACTCAAAGACTGCTATCGTATTTCCTGGTGGTATCAGCACTGCTATAGATTCTGGCTCTGGTGACTTTGATTAAAACTGACTCTCATCAGCAGGATTCAAACTATGATTCCCTGTAATTGGTTTGGGCTGCTTTGCATCTGGCCTCTGTTATATGAAGCCTGTTTTGTAACAGGAGCTGAAGTATACAGTGTACGGTTGAGTCGTGTACTTAAACATATGGAGGAGATTATGTGGAGGGAGCTATTTCAAAGACCAGCACCAGTGCTCTCAATTTACTTGCAGTACTGAGAGCTCGAGCATCTCAAATTAATTTTATAGTTACAGTGTCTCATTCAGAAGTGTCAGAGATTAGAAAAACTGTAATATTAGCCGTTGACTGAACTGAATATTTAAAGAGGGCATATTATGCTCTTTTACAAAGTCTTGATTTTGTTTTTGGGGTCTGCTAGAATAGCTTTTCATGCTTGCATGTTCAAAAAACACAATCCTGTAGAATTCAACCAATCAGATGACGACAACTACGAAACTTCCGAAGTGTTTGTGTGCCTTATGCATCCGTGGCGTGGGCGTGACGTCACGTCATTACAAATATATGTAATAGGTCCTCTTTAATGGTCAATGATAATATAAGACATTCCCTAAAAAAGGCCAGGAATCTGCTGTTGCCAGTGTGTTCAAACAGTCTCCCTTTTAGAAACTAGAGAAGTTAGTTTACTTGTTTTCCTCCACTATGTGCTTACTAGGCTGTATTATTATCCGTAAAACGTATTTTTCCAAAAACATGAGATATGCTTGTGTTTCGGAGAGAATGAGTGTTTGGTGGTTGTTTTGGCTAATTCAGTACTATAGATAATAGGTCAGGTAACTAGTTCATGAGTGCCTGTAATGTCTTGTGAGCACTAGGCTGAACTACTAAAATTTTAACTCAGGCAGGCAATCTGACTGGCTCATATATCAGTCTCTAGCCTTTTCTGATAAATTAGTAAGTTTGTTCATGCATTAATCATTTAGAATGTCAGCATGAGCATTCATGGTCAGAGTTTACCAGAGTGGTTTACCAACAGATGATTGAAATGATGTATAATTATCATTTGAATGAATAAAATTCATTACAATTTTCATAGATATATTTCAGATATATTGATTTAATTTTTTTCGCAAAGTCTTCTTCATTCAGTTCAGTCTGATCTGTATTTTAGTTGGTTTACCTGACTAAATCTACATTTGAGTTAATGTCGATTCGAGTTAATTTTTTATTAGATATAAATCATTTTGAGTTAATTTTTGATTAGATATATATCTTATATTAAATGAACTGATACTTTGAACCGTACAAGGAGGTAATCTCTTAACTTTGCATTACTGTAATATTTACGTTTAATTAACATGAACACTACGAAACAGTCAAATTCAGTAACATTTTCTTTAACATTTTTTCAAAACATATTTGGTAAAACCAAGTTTTTTTTAGTGAGCTCAGCAGAAACTATGTAGAAGAAGAAGCAAAATAATGTTCAGTGAAATTCTTCAGTTCTCGTATTAAAAGATCAATCTTGGGATTTTTATGAAATATATGATTTGTTTTCAGACTGAAATTGAAAAATCTTTCTTCCTATATCTTTACCCAATCCTAGATGGTACATATTGGCCGTTAAACTCAATATTCATTGTGCAGATCTGATGTGGTTTGTCTTTCCTCCACAGACATGTGTATCGCTGCTGCAATCTCATTGCTGATGATTATGATTTGTGGAATGGCAACCTATGGTGCATATAAGGTTTGACTATTTACTTATTAAAGTTCTTCCATCATTTACTCACCATTATGTTGTTCCAAACCCATAAGACTTTCTTTCTTGCATTGAATACAAACATTAGGGTGAGGAAATGAGATTTGAGGATCATTTGAAGCTCATTCTGATTCTGCAAAAATTGGTTTGTGCCGAGTAGTAAAATGATTTCTTTTTTTCTATTTTTCAGCAACATGCTGCATGGATCATTCCTTTCTTCTGCTACCAGATCTTTGACTTTGCTCTTAACACACTGGTAGCAATAAGTGTTGTTGTTTACCCCAACACTATACAGGACTATCTTCAGCAGTTGGTAAGGATCTCATGACTTTGAGTTTTTGATATTGCAAATTATCATTCTGTTAGTGACTCGATGTGTCATTATGTTTTAACAGCCTGGGACCTTTCCATACAAAGAAGACTTGATGTCCACAAACAACATGTGCCTAGTATTAGCAGTGCTTCTCTTTGTTGGATGCATCTTAGCCTTTAAGGTAATGCGAAACAACTGTACTTTCCCTTCGTTGTGATCTGCCAGTTCATTTCTGGTTCACTATAGCTAGATGTGGCGGACTGTAAGATGACTAGTGAACCTGACTGCTTCAGACGAACACTGTGTTGTCCTTCTAGAAGCCTGACTTTTCCAGAAGACTTCAGATGTGATACAAATGGCTTTATGACAGCCTGCGCGCATTAGAGAGAGGCAGATTACTCTTCTGGGATAAACACAGTGTGCTAAAATTAACCTCTTAGCTTGCCTCCCCATGCTGTTGTATGCATGACAGTCTAATAGGTTGTTTATTGCATTGTGATCTGTCTAAAGCAATATGAATTAACATTATTGTAAATTTGACCAAAGGTTTAAACCAGAAAAGTTAAAGCAGATACGGTCGACAGTTTTTAGATTAATAGGCATTGTACTCATTTAGCAATTCCTCAAATACAACAGCAAATAGCTGAGGTTATGATTAAAAATGGGGAAAAAAGTGCAAAAAGAAAGAAAAGTGACCAGTTTTTGGACATTAAATTTAGGGAAAAAATCGTGATGTTTATGTTATTTGTCCCATATGTTCTTTTTATATATATTTTACCTTCTGGAAGTTAAATAATGTAGATGAGGCACTGTATCTGTGGCTCATTATTTTTATTGCTAAGCCTTATGCGCCTGATTTATGATGGTGTTTTATTTAGCATCAACGGCTGTTCTTTCTCTTTAGGCTTACCTTATTGCCTGTGTCTGGAACTGCTACAGATACGTCAGTGGAAGAAGCACTACAGAGGTCCTGGTTTATGTCACCACAAATGACACTACAGTAAGTCAAGGGTTTATTTGAACGTACACTGTTTTGTTTCTTTACATTCACATTTGCAGATGTTTTCATAATGAACACACATAAACTGTTATGATACCGTTCAAAAGTTTGGGGTTTGTAACTCTTTTATTCAGCAAAGATGCATGAAATTGATCAAAAGTGGCAGTAAATACTTTTACAGTGTTACAAAAGATTTCTATTTCAAATAAATGTTGTTCTTTTGAACCTTCTATTCAAGAATACTGAGAAAAAAGTGTTTCATGGTTTCCACACAAATATTAAGAAGCACAACTGTGTTCAACATTATTAATAATAAAAGAAAATGGCTCCAAGACTAAATTGCATTTTAAAATATATTTAAATAGAAATGTATTTTTATTTTACAAGCTATTTTAAATTGAAATCATATTTCACAGTTTTACTGTTTTTACTGTATTTTTAATCAGATAAATACAGCATACAAGACTTTTCAAATATATAAAAAAATCTTACGACCCAAAACTCTTGTAGTGGTAGCGTGATTAGGGATGGGAATCCTAGGGAGTTTGATTATTCAGTTTCAGATTCTGATTTCATTTAAAAAATCCAGTTCCTTAGTAATTCCATTTATGATTCTTTTAGTACATTTGAGGAGGCCCCAAATAATTCATCCTAGCTTTATTATTACCATATAACTATATGAGGTTTATATTTTTATAAACAAAATACTGGATAAAAACATTTTGGTAACATCTAAATTACATTAAAATTAAAAGAAAAAATAAATTATAAAAAAATAATTCTCTTCTGAATGTATATATTTAACATTTGTTTAGATTCAGATTCCTAAATAGCAATATTTTTTTAAACGAACTAATAAAAGGACAAAAGCAGATAACAAAATTACTAAAAAAAATAAACAAAAATTAACATAAAAACTAAAAAAATATCAAATAAAAGCCAATTCAAAATATGAATAAACCTAAAACAACACACAAGTCATTTGTTCACAAATTATGCTACACTAGTCATGCTGCATATTAGTCAGCAAAAAAAAAATATATGGTCATGAACCATTACCACAAATAAATAAAATCATCCAGTTCTCAGTTCCTGATCCTACACATAATTCAGTCATAAGAAACAGTCATGTAGTCTGCTCTAGAGTTTATCCTTGCACAGCAATAGGGGATGTTCTGATGTGCATCCCAGCAGGTTCATGAATGATGACGCTCTCCTCATGCCCTCAGTATTGTTGAGTCAGTGTTTATGGAGGGCATTAGAGAGGGCACTGTGCTGTGCTTTAATCCAGTACTGTCTGCCAGAAGAAATCCTGTCTTACTGCCTCTGTCTATCTGTCCTGCTGCTCTGTTGACCCTCACAGCCCTCCAGTCACTGACAACTCACATATACCAAGAGTTACATTCAATGCATTTGACAGACGCTTTTATCTAAAGGGACTTTCAGTGCATTCAAGATATACGTTTTATCTGTATCTATGTATGTATGCAATTAAGTATAAAAATATTCGTATTTTTTGGGTGTGGGTGATGATCGGCCTAATTGGATTGCCCGGGTCACTCAGCTGAATTCCACAGATGACCTTCCAGCATAATGAGTGGTCAGATGCTTTAAAAAGAGACAGAAAGAATAGAAATAAAAGGCCATTGAGAAGCATAGGGCTTTTTCACTATTCAACTGCAGGCCGTTACATAACTGTCCACACTTGTTCGGTTCATTTGAAATCCGCTCGGTTGACGCATTCCAGCCATCCTGACAAGGTGCGAACGTGATCCCCTCAGGGCATTCATGACCATATTACTAATTAGCTAATCTTTTCATAACAGTACCTAAACAAAGAATGTGGTCTTTCAGAATTTTGGTTGCTCTATACAGGGAGGATTAACTTTTCTCTGCTGTGACAGAAGAGGGTGAAAGAGACCCTCTTATCCAGAGTGGCTTGAAAATGCTTTTGTTTTATGTGTGACTCGGCCGTGGTTTACAAATGACTAGCAAAGCAACAGGAGACCGTAGAGAGAAAAGAGATAAGAAGATAAAGGTGAAAGGGGTTTTGGGCATGCGGCAAGCAGAATTCGAACCTGCATTTTCCACATAAGCACCATATCTCAATGGCTATTTTCAGAATACATACTACTGTGCTACTTTTACTATTTCTTCAGTATATAGTATGTATACTACATGCAGTATGCAATATAGATATTATGGCTACAAATTAATGCATTTGTTAACATGGCCACAAATGTATTAGTTTGGTGCCTTAATTTAGTTCAATCATGATTTAATGGGAACAAATTAAGTTGTGGAAAACAAATTCTATGAGCGGGGCTCTGTACAGATGACCTACTGCCAAAATATGCATAAAAATATGTATTCCACAATGCAAGGCTCTCCAATACCATGTCCAATGTGACAAAATAAACCAGAAGTAATATCAGACATGAGATCTTGAACCTCTTTCTTGACTCATTATGCAAGTTGATTTGATGTTTTAATCCAAAAATGTAATTTCCAAGATGAAATATGATATTTATATGCCAAATGTATAGCTTACTACTCTTTAAAACCTTTTATTGTGCATAATGTGCTGTTTTACATACTATTTTAATAGTTTATAGTATAAACCGCACAGTATTCAGTTAGAAGCAAGCTAATGTTCATCGCAAACATTGCTAACGTGTTAGCATGTGTGCTAATGTGTTAGCATGTGTGCTAACTGCTACAGCTCAAACTTATCGTTTTCTTTTTTTGTGTGTCCTGATCATCTAAGAATACAGCATACAGAAGAAATGGGGAAACATGGAAAATAAGGAAAGCATTTACTAATATGTTACTGCATTAATTTCAGGTACTACTTCCACCCTATGAAGAGGCGATCGCCATTCCACCGAAGGATCCCCCTCCCCAGTACGTTTCGGCTTGAGAATCGCACCGATTTCTTACTACGCTGCCCCCAAACCTTCTCCAAAGAAACAATCTCTTGTCACAATAGCCCATTCCGTTGCCCCGGTCTCCCGTTTGTCGCTGTGTGACGTAAGTCTCCTCTCTGGAGGCAGCAGTATGACTTTGAGACGCCCTTCCCTCGACAAGGCTACCCAGCTGTCCTGGCAACCCAATGCTGTGTGTCAGCTCCAATCTGATTTGCACTTTCGGCGATTATGTGTGGTACTGGCCTTTTTAATACTGTGAACTTCTCAGTAGTGTTGTCGTCTACTGATATACCTGAGATTTGAATGCAGCGTGCATGATAAACACGGGAGTTACGTAAGAGCGCTTTTCAAATGGGAATTACCTAGAAATGTACTGAATGTAAGAAGCCGGCATTTTCACTTTAATTTCGTTGTATACTGTACGAATTGAACGAAATTTGAACTCTGATTCAGAATATAACTAAATTAGTTGTTTAAAAAAATGTAACAAGCAATGCAACACAATTTTATCTAATAAAGTTAAATCTTTCAAGTCTTCCTTTATACACAATGCAATAATTTGTTAATTTAGTCTTTTTTTTTAACAAATCTATTGCTAATCATTGCTTAGATGTCGTAAGAACCAGTGTTCCTGCTGTGAACAGTTACAAAGCTCTATAAACTTAATATACGTGATGACTCTGATTTAGATGAGAAGTCAAGTAGATTTGAAACATTTGAATGATTCTGTTGACTGTTTCATGCATCAGGGAGGATCTGACTTCTACGGAGCCCCTAAATTTGCGTTCGATTGCAAAATGTTTGCGTTCCCCTGAAAAATGTTGCATTCACTTGCAAAATGGTTGCGATCTCCAAAATTTTTTTGCATCCGCTTGCAAAATGTTTCCGTTCTCAAAATTTGCTAAAATTGGGAAACTCAGGGGAACGCAAAGGTTTTGGAAATGAACGCAAAGTTTATTGGGGGAACACAAAAAAAACGTTCCTGCGAGAGAACGCAAAACCATTGAAATATGTACCTTTAGGGACTCTTTCTGTACACATCAGATTAAAGGACTTGTTTAAAAGAAAAAATCTAGGTTAAGGTGCGGTCACATTTACTGTTTCAATAGGAATCCACACGATTGTGATGGCGAAAGATTTTCCTTCGCAGATTTCGCAACAGATTTAAATTGGTAATGCGAATTTACCGCGTTGATGAACAGAAAGTTACTTGGTTTCAAAGCGACTTCTGTTTGAGCTGTGTTTCATGCATCGCTACACTATTTGACAATAGTCAATTGACCTTTTGCTCAAAAAATGTCAGTAATGTGGCCACATGTTTACAGTGAGGCACTTAGAATGGAAGTGAATTGGGCCATCCGTAAATGTTAAAAATACTATTTCAATAGTACACCTAAACAATGTGTGTTAATATGATTTTAGTGTGAAAAAAATGTGATTATAACTAATTTTACTACTTCTTTGCCGTGACATGTAGGCTAATGCCTAAAATGCTAAATTGACTATAAAATCTTAAACCGCTTAAAACACAAGTTTTAACAGAAATATTAATGTAAGTGCTTTCATAAAATTAGAAGGATTCACATTTCTGCTTTAAAATCATCCAAAAAATTTCCCCATTCACTTCCATTGTAAGTGCCTTGATTTTTTTTTTATATATATATTTTGTGATAATCAACCATATGCCGCAAATGTTGTCGATTGATCTAAACGTTCATTGAACCAGGACAGTGCTCAAATGGATAAATGAGAATTATGTGTAAGGAAATAATTTTTTGTCATTTGTTGAAGTTACATACTCCTGTTTAGAGAAGTAGTATAACTTTTCTGTCATTATCACTAGGTTACAATCTGTGGCTGCAGACTGCAATGTTTTTGCGCATATGAATATTATTTATTCATGTTATTGTCTGTGAATGGTGTTAATCAGTAATTGTGACAAATTAAAAGTAAATTACGTTACTGCCGACAGTAGATTAGCACCTAGCTCGGTTTAAGTTAACATGGCATCTCCCCCAGTCATCTCCAAGCTTCTGTTATTGGGAACGTTTTTCATTTTTATATACAGTGGCTATGCAGGGTATTTTGTAACATGTATCCATAGCTGACAATGACTAAGTACTTACATTTAATCATCATGGTAACAATAGGTATAGAAGCATTAATGAACGTATTAGAGATTGATACATATAAACATTTCCTTTCATTGTTCTAAGCGTAGACTTTCACCTTCATTTCAGCATCTCAGATTCAGCTTCAAGAAAGCAATGTTTTTCGTGACTCAATTTTCAAATTATTCTGTGTATTTGGAATTTTGCTGTTGGTATCATATTGTGACCTGTACATTTTAATTATTGTCATGATATTCCTCGTAAAAATGAAACGGTTATCAATGAATATCACAAAAATTAATTCTCAGAAACCCAGAATAATGTTTGTCAGTAGGTAGAATGACTGTGAGTGTTTGTCTTTGTCTTGTTGCACATCCTGTATTGGGTTGACACTGGCTTATGTCTTATTCATAAACAATAAAATATTACAGTAATGCGTCAATATGGCTGTGTATCTCTTTATTATGCAGGTGACTAAATGAAGATAAAGGATAAATAAATTGTTCAAAAACTATTAAGTACAGTATTATTCATTATTAGTGACCAGTATTATTGGTTTGATAACGTTTACCTTTGCATGATCAGAGAAAGATTCACCTACTTTTATTTCTGGATGAGCAGAACCATGTCAGGGGTTTAGCACTTGTGTTTGTAAGAATTTACAATATATACACTTCATCCACTGACCTACTTTTGATGGTTTGGATTCCAAGGATACTGTCCAGTGAATAACACAGCCTGCATGATGTCTTTTCAGAAGCACTGTTGAGATCTCATGTACAGTTCCCTAGTTATCCGTTTAATTTTTGCAAGCTCACTGAACACGCTCATATTTATCTGTGTGGGTATTAGAATTAGACTTAAAAAACTGATGACACGTGACTGAGGAAACTAGGGCAATCACTTCACTGAAGAGAGCTTTTGATGTGTTCTCTGCTCAAGCGCTTTAGGCCTGTCACAGTTTTATTTTGGTCTGAAAATCCTTAGGAAAAAAGTATGTCGATGCAGCAGCACGTTTATAATGCCTACAATATTGCCATCATAGAATGTCAAGGGCTGTATTCAATCAGTAATATGTAAATATGTAAAAAAGAAATATACTTCCTTGATCTAGGCCTAATAGACTAAAATTAAAATACAATTATCCCATACTCGTCTTATTTTGCATGTATTATTGGTTATATAAAAAACCATTACGTTATCATCATTGCAGCATCTTTAAGAAATATAATTTAATGAATTTTGATAGCTTTAGCAATTTTTCCTTTCTTAAACTAATTTATAAGTGCATTAATCATTTAGCACCTGAGCCACTAAGTACATTTATTGAGAGACAGCCAGGACAACATCCGAGTCACTAGGAGCTCCACAAATCATGACTGTAAAATAGCATACTGCAGGACCAGCTTTGGACAGACGACCTTCTCTGTGAAGAGTTCTAAACTCTGGAACTCATTACCTTTTGAAATCAAGACTGTGCCTGACTTTAAGATGTTCACTTCCAGGCTTAAAAACTGGTTAAAAATAAACCAAAAGTGTAGCCTACTCATTTTTAATTATTATAAAAGTTGTATATGATATGTATGTATGTTTGTATTATTATTATTTTATTTTTTATTGAAGTAGTTAATCATGTAAATTTTATTGTGTATAAAAGCCCTTCCAGGGACAGGAGTTGAAAATTAGCAATAGCTATAAACTTTATATGCAACAGATCAGTGACATGCTTGGTTTTGACACTATGTTTGTTTGCATTGTCCCTGTCAAATAAATAAAAAAAATGTTTGCTCTGTATTTCAGTTCTGTGCACTCACAATGGAAAAATTATCCTGAAAATCCATATAATATATTATATATGCGTGGATATTATATGTGCCTGGATTACAAAAACTGTCCTTATTTAATTGCTGACAAGTTGGAAAATCGCACACAATCCATAGTGTCAATGATAGCCATTGAAATGACATCACGGCACCATGAGGTTAACTGTGGAATGAAGCAAATCAAATATTTTATCTTTGAATTTTTAAAAGACGAATACCAACCTCTTTCATATATAGCATGGAAAAACAACATCAGGAAAACTGCTTTGGTAGCGATTTAAAATGCCGTTATAATACAACTTATTTTTCAGTTAAATCTACTCTAGACATCATGTCTTTCAGAAAACATTTTAAGACTGCAGAACCTAATTATATATCAACTATTTTTGGAGTGAAACTTTCAAACCAAAAGCAAAGATTTGTATTCTGCTCACAAAAGTGTGCGCACCCCGTGTTCTGAAACGATTCAACTGAAGAATTAAGGATAAAATGCATTAGATATTGCGCCCTCTAATGGTAAAATCATGTTATGTGTAAATTTCAGCAATGTTTTTGTGTGGGGTCAAAATGCCAAATCAAATTGCATGTTTTTTGGCACGTGTGCAAAATAGTAAGTATAAATGTCTACAATTTGCACAATAAATAAATACACATGGCTTACTGATCAAAACTGATGAGTTGATTCTCAGTGAAACTGTCATATTCTTCACTACTTCTAAACATTATTTCATCGTGCGAGTCATCACATGCTAAAATGATCCATTCACTCTAAAAAATGCTGGGTTGTTTCAACCCAATTTTGGGTCAGACATGGACAAACCCAAATGTTGGGTTAAAAATGTAATTAGAAAATGTAACCCAATGGCTGGGTTTGTCCATATTTGACCCAAAGTTGGGTTGAAACAACCCAGCATTTTTTATCAAAATCTCTGACATACATGTAGCCTATATTCCATAAATATGTGACATTAAATGTTTGTATTGTCTGCTGAATTGGCAAATGGCCTGCCATTGAAATGAAATGCGAATCACATTCTTACCAATAGTTTAGATCATATATATTATGGACTAGTGAGTTAGCCCGGCATCACTACCATTTTTCAGTAGCTATAGGAGTACATTATTTTGTATTTATACAGTACATTACATTTTGTAGAAATGTGACAAAACATAAGTGTAAAAATGCTACCTTGAATTTTCAGTTAACGTAACATTTCTACAAAAAATAAATGTACTGTATAAATACAAATGTTCTTTTTTTGTGTGTACTACAGAATCAACTTTTCCAAATAAAATGTTTATACCTACTGTTAAAAGAATCTAAAAAGCTCAGTGATTAAAAAGAGCATTCAGCGAGACAAAACTGACAATCTTGAAGTGCAGAAAGCAGTCAAGGTCAACAAAAAAACCCCAAATGTTTAACAAATATTTTCATGGTGAAAAAACATCTACACATTTTGACCAGTGTGGTTCACACGACAAAAACACTTTATATTTTGTTGGCATTGGCCAATTTACTGACACAATAACTAGGTTTTGAAGCATGAATTAAATATTTTGGCGAGTTATATTTTGAAGACACACAATAGTCCTGATGTTCCAGCAAACAGTTGTGACAATTGCACTTATAGTTTAGAGAATGTTAA